TCGATTCTAATTGATTTCGTAATCCATGTACTATTGAAATTTGAATAAGACCAGGTGTGTGTTACTGCTCGTGCCCAAGGGATCTCAGGGCTGTCAGAACTGATTTAAGGGCTTTTCACAGGCAGTCTGAGACTGTCTCAAAAGGAATGAACCCTGTACGTTCAGCCGTGTCGATTCTAATTGATTTCGTAATCCATGTACTATTGAAATTTGAATAAGCGCAGGTACGTGTTACCACTCGTGACTGAGGGAACTCAGAGCTGTAAGTCCACTTCAGGCACCGACTTTGGCCCATTCTGAGACTGTCTCAAAAGGAATGAACCCTGTACGTTCAGCCGTGTCGATTCTAATTGATTTCGTAATCCATGTACTAATGAAATTTGAATAAGCGCAGGTACGTGTTACCACTCGTGACTGAGGGAACTCAGGGCTGTAAGTCCACTTCAGGCACCGACTTTGGCCCATTCTGAGACTGTCTCAAAAGGAATCCACCCTGTACGTTCAGCCGTGTCAATTCTAATCGATTTCGTAATCCATGTACTATTGAAATTTGAATAAGACCAGGTGTGTGTTACTGCTCGTGCCCAAGGGATCTCAGGGCTGTCAGAACTAATTTAAGGGCTTTTCACAGGCATGCTGAGACTGTCTCAAAAGGAATCAACCCTGTACGTTCAGCCGTGTCGATTCTAATTGATTTCGTAATCCATGTACTATTGAAATTTGAATAAGACCAGGTGTGTGTTACTGCTCGTGCCCAAGGGATCTCAGGGCTGTCAGAACTGATTTAAGGGCTTTTCACAGGCATTCTGAGAATGTCTCAAAAGGAATGAACCCTGTACGTTCAGCCGTGTCGATTCTAATTGATTTCGTAATCCATGTACTAATGAAATTTGAATAAGACCAGGTGTGTGTTACTGCTCGTGCCCAAGGGATCTCAGGGCTGTCAGAACTGATTTAAGGGCTTTTCACAGGCATTCTGAGACTGTCTCAAAAGGAATGAACCCTGTACGTTCAGCCGTGTCGATTCTAATTGATTTCGTAATCCATGTACTATTGAAATTTGAATAAGCGCAGGTACGTGTTACCACTCGTGACTGAGGGAACTCAGAGCTGTAAGTCCACTTCAGGCACCGACTTTGGCCCATTCTGAGACTGTCTCAAAAGGAATCAACCCTGTACGTTCAGCCGTGTCGATTCA